TTTTAGAAAGCTGAGAGCGGAGTTTGCACACCTCCTGTGTAAAAAAAAATACAGACAGTAAACAATTACTTAAGATCACGATAGTGAAAAGTGTGATCAATGTTATGGACAAATTCTGAAGTTGCTAAGATATCAAACCAAATGGCAAAAACCACTGCTAGATAGAGGCTTGAAGACTTGAATTATGAAATGACCTGGAACCACGGTGACAAAGGAGATAACGAGTCATTTAAATCTTCTTGCTGCTCTAGAGGTACACAGATACGTTTCTGATAAAAGTTCGTCTCTAACTTACATGCCACGATCAGCTTCCAGCATGAAAGCACTTGGGCTCTGCTGTCCTGCTTCCTAGTGAAACTAAAAGTTGGGAAAAGGCAACCATCTAAAGCGTCTAAAAGGGGTCCTAAGACAAAACAGCCAAGGAAGAAACATCTACTCAAGCAAATCTACAAAAATGTGGTCCAAAGGCGAGGGTCTGTGCTATTTAACAAGTCTGCTCCCTCCCCTCACAACTCAGGAAGGTGACATCTCCACGCCAGACTGCTGCAGCCGAGAACCCGAGCCTCCCGCTCCCCCCAGCTCCCCATCAGAATGCCAGCATTCCCATCTTGTCCTGAGCTACCGGTTGCACCAGAGAGATAGATGCAGGTGAAAACCACAACGTGGTATTACGTTACATGCACCAGGACAGCTGGCATCAAAAAGTCTGTTGGGAACTGCCCTGCCTGGTTTCAGAAGCTGCAATCCCTTAATCCCTTAACCCCTGTGGCTAAGGCTGAGTAAAGGACCTTGGGACCATAAGCCACTTAGGAAACAAAGCTTATCTTCCGTGTAGGGGTGTCACCTCTGCCCTCTTTCAGTTCACTTCACCCTGCTTGGCCCTGGGCGGATGACTGGTTAGCCAATGATGGGTAAGATTCCTCAAAGAGGGATGACCTAAGACAGACATGGTCATGAAGGGGCCCTCAGGGAGGGACTTGGGGGGCTATAGAAAAATGGGGTGATGGACCCTTGCCCATCGACTTTGATATAGCCTGAGTCCTCATTCTGTCTGCAAGAAGTCTCCTAATCTCTTGGCTGCCTTACTTCCCCAGCCTGATTTAAGCCTGAAACAATGCCTTAAGCCTGAAACAATGCTGGAGGTGGGTGCGGCCCTGTGCCAGGAAAGGCAGGTTCCCTAGGGTGATCAGGCCTAAGAAAGAATGCATAAAATCCTATGACCTACTTTCCTAATACCCTCAATTGAAATGATAAGGGTCTAAGCAGGAAGTGAGTTTGTTCCCCAAAATTTTATGGCCCTTTAACTACCTGACTCTGACTCAGAATAAGCCCTCAGAGTTCTTTGAATGTTATCTATTGTTTAATCATTACTGCCTGACAATGATTGATGAGCTTTATATATACACCCTGTATTCCTGTGCAAACTGAACCCAGTAACCGCTTGTCAAGGCAAGGGTCGAGGTGCTCTCCCCTTGAGAAAGTGGCCAGGCTGTCCCTTTTCCTCCACAGGACTCAGTAGTCTGTGTGAATTTGTCTTGTCTCATCCATAACACTGAGGACCCCAGGAGCCAGGATCCGAGTCAAAGTCAGGTAATGACAAGTGTTGATGTAAAGAAATTGGAACCCTCATGTGTTGCTGCTAGAATGCAGAATGGTGTAACTGCTTTGGAAAACAGCCCAACAGTTCCTCAAGGGATTAAACAGTTAACATATGACCCAGCAATTTTACTGGTAGGTATAACCTAAGAGCAACAAAAACCTAGGTCCACACAAAAACTCAGACCTGAGTGTTTGTAGCAGCAATGTGCATAACAGTGCAAAGGTGAAAGCAACCTGAATGTCCAACAACTAAGGAATGAATGAATGAAATGTGACACAGCCACAAAATAGAATATTGTGAAAGAAAGGCATGCTGATGCAGGTACACAGGTGAACCCTGAAGACAGGGTGCTGACTGAAAAAAGACGGTTACAAAAGACCACATGTTATTTGGTACCAAAAAGAAAAATGTCTTTTTTAGGGAAATTTATAAAGGCAGAAAGTGGATTAGTGGTGGGAGGAATGGATAAGAAGATAAGCAGATAGATAATAGCTAAAGGGTAAGGGGTATCATTTTGAGGTGACAAAAATGTTCTAAATGCACTTGTTTGTAAATATACTAAAAGCCATCATGTACATTTTCAGGCATGTGAATTATACTTCAATAAAACTGTTAAAAAAAACCCTTAAATGCTTATTTTTGAATACTGCTTATCTTTACAGGGTAGTATTTATTTGCTTCAAGGATTTTGCTACTTTACAAACAGTGATAGATGTATACAGCTTTATGAATTCTTCCAATCATTCCAGTAATTTTCAGTATACTGAGGAAGTAGTTAGAAGACCTGAGAACACTAATACCCATCTGGTCAACATTCTGAAATAAATCCTTAATTCTCAGGTGGATTTTCCTCTATAAACTATTACTTTTTTTCTGATACCAAAGTCCTTCATTTTACTTAAGTGTTATACAAAGAATAAAAAAACCCACACCATATTCAACAGGACTAGGTGTTATTTTACACACCGATTTCAGTCGGCTGTTTTCATCTTTCAATTTCACAACGTGCTTGATTTTTTGCTTTAGGTTCTGATGACCCAACAGCTTAGCGTACGAGTCTCTGAGTGCGTTCAGCTGTTCCTGAGCGGCACCGTGTTCACTCAGCAAGGCCTGTTTCTCTGCTTCAAATGCATCCAGTTGTAGCTGAAAAAGAGGTGTTTTTTTTTTAATATAAACTTAAAACTGTTAAATCTTACTTACCTATATCAACTACACAGAAAACACAGGTAAAAGAAAACTTAAATGAACAAAAGCAGATTTTGTTGACATACTGTCAGGTCTCTCCATAAATTCTCTATGAGATTCTTTTTTAAAAACTTTGTATTTTTCACTTGAAAGATCGGGAAAAGAAACAAGCAGTTCAGCTAGCCAGCCTAACTTGCACCAACTGGATCACATTATAACCCGTACTCATCATCTGCTTAAGTGCCAAGATGAGCACTTACCCTTTTTCTTTTTAAAGACCAGTGTATTAATGTGAGATATACGGAGAAAGATCACGACACAATAATTATCACACAGTTACACAGGCTAATGATCGAAAGAGCCTTCTAAGCTATTAACTTTAAGTCTCTTACTGGGAGGTATTTTCATAGCTTACAAAGGCTATAGTAAAATGTATGCATAATAATTTAACAAAACTTATCAGCCTTCTTTCATAGGAAGTTAAGTTGGCACTAACAGCACAGCAAAACGGCTTTCCAGAAAAACCACGTCACTGTCCTGACTGTGGCCAAGAACAGGGTGAACTGCTAAAACAAACACAAGTAGCAAGTTCAGTCCTAACTGACAAACCTGAAAAGGCTTTGTTTTGTTATACAGTTCTTCATAAAGGAGACGCCACTTATTCATTTCCTCAGTTAACTCTGCCACTGTATTTTCTTTCCCAGCCTGTCTGTAAGGGAAGATTAAAGACCCAGGGTCACAGACAAGAAGAACGGAGGTGCCTGGCTCTCGGGTTCTGAGGCTGGATTACCTTGCTGCTGCTGCTTCCAGCTGCTGCTTAAAGTCTTCACGTTGTTGCTTCAGTTGGTTCTCCAAATCAGTGATTTTTTGAAAAGAAGAAACTGTGATGTCTTTAATTTCTGCTTCTTTAAGTGCTGATCTGGTCTGAAGATCTAAAAGCATCCTTGGGTTTGAGAGAGAAGAGTCTCTAAACATTTTATGGCCACTTTAATAACTTTTTCTGTACTTGTTTTTTAGGCTTAAGGACCTCTTCAATAATTTTATCTTTTTAACTAGATAAATTCTTTAGATTTTACTTATTTTTAGAGAGAGGGGGAGGGAGGAAGAAAGAGGGAAAGAAACATCAATGTGAGAGAGAAACACTGATCAGTTGCCTCTCCCATGTGCCCTGACCAGGAACCGAGCCAGCAACCCAGGCATGTGCCCTGACTGGGGATCGAACAGACAGCCTTTTGCTTTGCGGGACAATGTCCTGGCAACTGAGTCACATGAGTCAGGGCAAATTGAGTAAACTCCTAATTTGCCATTTGAGATCACCCAAAGCAAGCCGTGAAACCAACTATAATTCCCTGCAGCACTTAATAGGTGGCTTTTGACAACGTTAAATTGTCTCAGTGGTTGGAGGGCCACGGGGTGGGCGGGCTTGCTTTCTGTGACATACCTTGCATATTCTTGATTCGAGTTCTCAGCTGCCAGTATCTGATGCTGAACATCCTCTGCGCTTTTCTCAGCCTTGGCCACTTTTTCCTTAAGTGATGAGTTCTCCTGCTTAAGATCTTCTATCTCACTAGCTGTTAATGCTTTATAGCTTATTAATAAGAAAAGTAAGTTAAAGGATTTTTCTAACTACTGTATACATGGCAAATATATGGCTGATGAATTTATACTTCATAAAATTTAAGGTAAAACAAAACCTTAGTATCTATGCATTTACACAAGTAAGAATTAGTATTCTGAGGTTAGTACTAATAAGCTTATATGGCATGGGCTGTTCATTAAAAAAAAATCAACTGCCTACTACGTGTAGGAAGTATGCATACAGAGATGAAAAAAAAAACTATGAAATATGAACATTATCCTAAAATCAAAATTCTACAATCCTTGGATTTTCTGTCAGAGTTTATGGTGTTGTAGGGAAGATAGGAAAATGCCTCCCCAGGATTTTGCAAAAAGAAAGAAAAAAAAAAGGGTCACAATTAAATTCATGGTAAGTATTATGACAACAACAACAAAAACCTACACAGCTCCTTAACCTGATAAGGAGACCCTACATTTTGGTTGGTGACTCAGAAAAGGCCTTTCTGAGGAATTTAGAGCCAAGCTGAGACATGGTGGGAAAAGAAGGTTTAGTGAGGCTGTTCGGGGAAAGTGTTTCACAGGGAAAAGGTGCTCAGAGGCAGGTAGAACACAGTGCTTTAAAAGGGGAGACTGGAGTGCTTGCTTTGGCTGCAGATACTGCAATGGGAACAATGCAGAGAAGATGAGCACATCCCTTATGCAAGGATAATACGCAAATTCATGAAGTGTCCCATATATAAAAAAACACACAACAAAATAAAACAAAAAAACAAAATGAGAAAAAGGATGAAACTAAGGCCTAATACATAAGACAGGCAAGAGCAGAAGTCAGACAGGACGGAGGTCACCCCTTACTGCAGCTCCCCATGGGGTTCCCTGAGGGCTCTAAGGAAGTGTGGGTATCACTCTGGAGACGGGAGGAGAAGGGACTGGGGAAGGTGCAGGAGGGCAACACTGGAAGGCGAACTAAAAGACGATTATCAGTCCAGGTGTGTGAGAAAGAAGGCTTGGACTAAGGCGTTGGCAACAGAAAGATGCGAGATCTCTTTTGAAGGCAGAGCTTTAAAATTCCAGAAGTGGACGTTAGGAGAAAGGGAGAGGGAAGGATCAAAGATGACCCTAAGATCGATGGAATGAGAAGCTCGGAGGATGTCATCGACTGAGATACAGGAGAGTGAGAGACTACGGGTAGAAAGAGATACAAGGAAGACCAAGAGTTGTTTCAGTTACTGTTAGAGGACAGTGAGGTGTCCACTTGGAGATGTCAAGCAGGCAGCTGGATTTATGGGCACAGAGCTGAATGGAGACGTGTGGTTTGAAGAAACATTAAATGGTACCAGCATACTGACGGTGAGTGAAGTTCCAGAATGGCTAAGCACCTCCTACGGCACTGTTTTTCACAGCAGCAAGAACAGAAATCCCAGTACAGCACTGGGAACACTAAAAATTACATGGTATAAAATTTATGTAATTTACATGTCTGCACTGGCATAAAATTATAATTAGAATGTGATCTGCATGTGCATGTATGCATGTTATATGTAACACATCACATGAAGGAGCAGATCACTGGGAAAGAAGGTACTAGTCAATGACTGGGCACCAGGCCATTCATTACCCACATGGAAAAACAAAAATAAATACACAGAAATCAGATCTGGGTGAAAAAGTGAAAGTGAAACAGAAACTTTTCTAAGAATAGGTGACAATCTTTATGTTCTTGGGATAGAAAGTAGTTCTTCAATGAGATGCAAAAGTGTTCATGTAAAAACCTACAAATTAACCACATTAAAATCAAAGGGAAATTACTGTATATACTAAGACTACCATGTAACACTAAATGCCCATTCATGGCCGGTCACTGTGGAATTTAAAGTGATACCAATAACTTTATTTGTGTGATTTTTGTTGTTGACAGTCCTCCCTAGATAAACACCCTCCCTGCTCTCATGTTGTTAAGAGTGCGGGCTCCCAACACAAGTACCTTTCGAACTGAGCGGTGACATCTCCGAGGCCTTGCACCGCACTGTTACACCTCTCCTGCAAACGCAGGGCGGCCTGAGCGTGAGCAGCATCACTTTTCTCGAGTTCGGCTTCTTTCCTAAGAAGAAGAAACAATTATAAGACAGACTGCTAACCACCAATCATTGCCCTAAGACAGAGATTAGTATTTACCTCTGACACTGGGGATGTCTACATTAGCTACTTGAGAGCTTAGACCTAAATTCATGGCCTACTTCCCACAGCATGTATATTATGTGGGCTTCATCTTGTCTTTCCTGTTCTAATTTTACTTTTGTTTCCATCCTCACTTACTTATTTCTAAATTTATCTTTTCATATCACATGTTATAGTTAGTTTAAACATTTTTTTTGGAAAAAAAGTAGGATAAAAAGACTCAAATATAATTGTTAACAGCAAAAGCCCAGGCTAAAGAACGTGAAGAATTACTAGTTAAGAAGCATTTGGGATGAATAAAATTTAATTGTCTACACGTAGACATTTAAGAAATACTAAGTACAGTTAGGGACACTTTGTTTTAAAAGTTCTTTTGAAATGAGTTATAGGATTATGTAGATTTATTTTCATTATACCAATAACCCACAAAAAATTGTTATTCAAAGATTCAACAATTTATGTAGTGGACTATTTTGCATAGATACATTTCCATTTTTGTGTATATGTATATCATTTTACATAGTGTAAGTTATATCTTTAATTACCTTTTTTTGAGGGAGCACAAACACTTCAGAAATAACAATCAAAAAGTAAAATGGGAAAAAACCACAACTGGGAAACATTTAACATTAAGAAATGTATCATTACAAGTAGAAAAAGATATGCTTTATTTTTACTCCACTTCCATACTGTTTTCATCACGCTGTAGGTCTTCCACAATATTTACTTAAATTAAAATACCTGGTTTGATGACTGAATTCAAATTGCTAATAATTTTATTATTTAAATCCTTGCATTTTCATCACTAAAAAATTTTCCAGCAAGGACCGTGAACTAGACGTGAGCCTACATGTCATGTGTCTCAGAACTGTGAGCATCTCTTGTGGGATACTATTTTATTCATTCCTTTTCTGTTTTCTTGTAGTGATTAGTGATTAAAAAAAAAACACAACGAGTTTTTATACATATCTGCTTTGGGGGGAAGAGTATCAAAATGTAACTAGAGGGATTGTTGTGTACTTGGTAAAAATCTGAAGTCATGTGTAAGTACGAGGTCCTGTTAATACAAACCCCTTCAGCTTTTCTTCTAGAAGCGCGAGCTCTTCGGCTCGGGCTTTTGCTTCCTCTTCCAGTTGTCTGACCAGCTGTTCAGCTTGTGCCTCCTTTTGCTGTAGTTTATCCAGCTCATCCAGAGCTTGCTTTAATTCTTCCTCAAAGAGATTCCTTTCTTTCATTATTTCCTCTTGGAAAGAACAAAGCTTCTGCTGAAGACTAGAAGATAATTCCTTCATGCAATAGAAAACCGCCAAAATTATTTGAAAGGTTGAAATAATTTAATAATTTGCAAGGTTTTATTAAGGACAGAAAAATGTAGAGATAACGATGTAAGAATATCAAATTCAAGATCCTCAAGGAAATTTGAAAAAATATGAAGATACCATATTTACTTTGTTAGGGATTATATTCTGTAACTTGTCAACATTGTGATAAATGGTATTTTAGTCTTTGTTTTTTATGTAACACATATACACAAACACACTTTTTGTAAAACTAAAAGCATGCTCTACAACTGGTTTTATTATATTTTTGGTCATATATAAGAAAGACTATTCAATGATAATATAAAAATATTTTAAAGTTACATGTATACCAATAAAAAGATAAATATAAGTAAATCAACACTGTAAAAAATTCTGACATTATAAAGAGAAAATTGCCTTGGACTCCTTTCCACCTCAATCTTAGCTTCCCCATTCCAGAGATAACCACTTTAGTAAATATATATATGACTAATGGTCTTTCCTATATATTTACCTACATACATTTAAAAATGTAAATGACATATATTGTGTATGAAAAGGTCAGTCAAAAAACCATAACAATGATTGTTGAGGTATTTATTTTGCAAGTTGGTATAGATAGATCTACTTAATTCTTTTTGTTGCAGCCTCCCCAACAATATGTATATTATATACACATTATATCGCCCAATTCTCACCTAGGGATTTTTAGCAAATGTTTAAATTTGTGTCAATCATATAAGTGGAAAAAAAGGACTTTTATTCCTTTAATTACACTAAGGCAGAACATCTATTAACTGTTATGGGCTCTCTGAATTTCTACTTCTGCCCATTTTTTTTCCTAGTGGACAATCTTTTTTTTCATTGATATGAAAAATAGTTTTTATGTAATCTGGATTTTTAAAAATGGCCAGTTTTGTTTCTTGCATGATTAGATGCTTTTTTTTACAGCTTAACCATAAATATCTATGTAGTAATCTAACACAAGAGTGTGCTGAGAAGATTTTTAAAGAATTTCCTTATTTTGCTTCATCTGGGTGCTTGTAATTTTTTTGCATAATCTAGAACACTGTGGTGAACACCTTTATAGTTAAATCTGCAGTGTAACCATGATAATTTCTTTTTTTTAAAAGATTTTATTTATTTATTTTTAGAGAGGGAAGGGAGGGGAAAAAGAAAGAGAGGGTAACATTAATGTGCAGTTGCTGGGGGCTATGACATGCAACCCAGGCATGTGCCCTGACTGGGAATTGAACCTGCAATGCTTTGGTTCGCAGCCCACGCTCAATCCACTGAGCTATGCCAGCCAGGGCCCATGATGATTTCTTCAGGATAAAACTCTAAAAGTATAATTGGTGGATTGAATCTGACCACAGGGAAATGTACGATCCGAAATAAGCACCAGTTTGATTTTATACGGTAGTAAACTACCTTCTCTTGTTGCAGAAGTGCATCAATTTCCATCTCTCTTTGCTGTAGCTTTTCATGTTTTTGTTTTTCAAGAATTAACTTTTCTTCTAAGTTTTGCATTTCAGACTTTAGATTTTCATCCTGTTCTCTGTCCCTGTTAATGAGGTCTTCTAGAAAAGAGAAATGATAACAATTCTGTAAATAGACACTAATAGTAACTTTGAACACCGCAGATTCCCGTAATATTTCATTATATGTACACAGCATAATAAGAGATCAAGTATTTTCAAATGGGGAAAACACAACCATAAGTTTATCTCATTGCTCTATATGTTATATAATAAACCCCTCAAACCTAGTTTTATTTATCTACCAATTTTAATACCCACAAGTAGAGAAGTCAAATACTGCATAATTGTATGTTTACATCAAGACAAGCAACACGTTAAAATAAACATTATAATAGACTAAAATTCTCATACATAGAACAAGATTTTTTGTTGTTGTTTATACAATTATTTTTAAAAGTTGTTTAAGGACTTTATGTTGTTCAAACATAGCAGTGCTTTTCCTAAATATTGTACGTAATACCCAACTGCAGAAGGTAATACCGTAAACACTAGAATACCTTTTTCTTTCTCAAGTAGTTGACATTTAGCATCCAGGTCTTCTACTTGTTTGGACAAGATAACAATGTTTTCCTCAAGAGACTGCTTAAGACTTAAAACTTCATGATTCTTCTCTTTCAAATTTTCTTCTAACTGGGCAATGTCTAGCTTGTATTTTTCCACTTGGTCTGAGGCACAACTGCGTTAAAACAAATCATTTTGAAGAGCACATCTATTTAAGCA